CATTGTCTTGTGCCTTTGTGAGTCCCTGATGGCAAGACAAGTTTCTCCAACTCAGCCACCTTGACCAGATTTTTTGTACAAGTCACCATTAACTAGACGAGATTTCTCAGACTCGCTGCAACTTAGCATCATCCCCAAAACAAGTGGAAAGTGCATTTCATCCCATTAGTCAGAGACACCATAGAAATGTTCCATAGAAATGGTCTAGGGTTGGTCCCTGAGGAATGTCACCTGGGAGTTGCTGCCAAGAGGAATTTGTGCCATGACTTTTGACCCTCATCAGTCTTTCAACTTCCCACCCACCACATGTTTCACTTGTCCAGTCCAACTGTCACCAGTCTGGCTCTAAGGAGACCACAGGAGACCATGTCAAAGGCCTGTTGAAGTCTGGGCACACAATATCCCCTTCTTCTGCCTCCCACAGGGGTTCTGCAACCCCTGCCTTGTCCTTCCCATGCCTGGCAATGGCTGCAGGAGGACTTGCCATGTCCCCTTCCCTGCTGAACCTGAGCAGGCTGGAACTCTGTCAAGCCTCCTTGCTGCCCTGTTTGCAGACTGGTTCCATGTCTGCCTTTGCCAAGGCCCCAGGAAGCTCTGGGATGGCTCTGGCCTTTGCAAGGGTTTGGGAGAGGTCTCCCAGTGACCCTGCCCAGCCTTCTCAACATCCCTGACACCAAAACCTTTTCTATTATCCCACAGTTCCAGTTTAGTGCTCATGACAGAGCACACATTCTTATGGTTCTTTAGGAAAAAATCAGAAGTGATTTCATTCTAGAGGTCAATGGTGGAGCAACCCAGTCTGCTCTGACCCCACAGCAGTGCCCACCCCAGAGTGCTGCAGAGCTCTGGGCACTCCTCGCACAATCCCAACCCCTCTGAAGGGAACAGAAGCTCCTGGGGAACAGAGAGGAGTCTCAAGCTCCTCTGCAGCCCCAGAGCTGCAGACTGACCATGACACAAAGAATTGGAGAGGAGTCAAAATTCAGGAAACCTGATGTCATCTGCAGGAGATGCCCAGCACAGCCTGACTGTGCCCCTCAGTGCCAACCCCTCTGCCCAGCCCAGCACAGAGTCCTGACCCAGGGACAGAGCAGCCTGTCCCCAGGGGGGCTGCAGAAAGAGCTTTCTCTGTGCCATGGATTCCTCTGTGCAGGCACAGAAATGCTGCCTTGCTCTTCTCCAGGGACATCCCTTTGCCCAGGGCAGTGTGTCCAGGCTGCCTTGGCCAGTTGCAGACGCCAGCCTGGGATCCCTGCAGGGCCCTGAGCTGGAGGGACTGCTCTGCAGAGGGAGGGGCTGTGGCACCCTGGGCTGACCCTGCACTGGCCATGCTGGTCAGGCTGGGAAGCAGAGCCAGCAGGATGGGGATCACTTCTCTCCACCCTCTTCCATCATCCTGGAAGGCTCAGTAGCCAAGAACAATGCTGGGCAGGACCATGGGCTCTTGGCAATGGCACAGAGGGCAGGACAGGGCTCCACTCCATCCAGCCTGTGGGCTGCAGAGTTCTTCAGGACACTCTCCTGGAAAGCCCAGCCCTGGCTCTGGTACAGCCCTCCCTGAGCTGGGCAGGCACAGTGGGAGTTCACTGAGGGCAAGAGGAGTCACTGGCCAGAGTCCTTTCTCTGTTCCTGCTGAATCCCCTGGGGTTGCAGAACTCTCCTTTACCAGTTCCCAGGGTGCTGGGGTCTTGGCAGTTTTAAAGGATTGTGCTGGGTTCTGAGAAGGCCAGGAGTTGACCGTTAGACAAACAAGAACAAGTTATGCGGCTGCAGGAATGCAGAGGTCAGCAGAAAGCAATGTGTGAAAAACGGTGATAACAGAAACTTTTCCCAGGAATGTGCTTTAAGACTACCAATCGTTGGACTCCTTGAGGCGCGTGAACAATGTAGACTAACCAATCATGGAGGCGTGCTGTGCTCGTGATTGCATGTCCAAGACTCAAAAGAATATATATTGTGTGGCCTTCTGATAATAAAACGGATTTGAATCTGCATCTCATAGATGTGTCGTTCTTTCCCGCTCGCGTGAATGCCCACTGCACCAGGGACATTTAGTACTTTAGCTCTGGGTGACTCCACCCTGGGCAGGATTCTGCTCCAGAGCTCCAGTCACTGCCGACTGGATGGGACAGGCTGTCCCTGCAGATCCTCTGTGCTCTCCTGCAGTTCCTCATTTCCTACACAGAGGTCCTCATCTGCCATCAGAGCCAGCACAAGCTGCAGAGCCCCAGGCAGGTGACCTGGAGACCATTTGCCACTGACCACCAGCACAGAACATCTGACCCAGCCCTCAGACCCTGAAGTACCACAGTGAGTCCTTCCATCCCTGCACGGCCTGAATGGGGAAACAAACCAAGGCAGGAGACTTTGGAGAGTCTATTCCTTGGCTTGTTCTTTACACCAACCCCTTAAAAAGAACAAAGTCTTCAGGAACTGCCTAGAGGGATCCCCTTTCCTGATGGAAATGATGTTAAGGAGCCCAGCTCTGTGCCAGCAGTGCCAGGCCCTGTCCCTGCCCATGGTCAAAGCACTGACCCACAGCAGTGACTGAGCTGCCAGAGCACTCAGGCCTTGGGCAAAGAGCAGAAAGCAGTGGAAAAAGAGCATCTCTGAAAAGCCCAAGAGCTGCTGCTCCCTCGCAGTGCTCCTGACTCAGGACTCTTTATCCCTTCTCCTCTGCACACAGGCACTGCCCTCCAGCTTCAGGGAAGTTCGTGGAGCAAGAATTTGGGACAAAGATTTCAAGTCCTTTATTATAGACTGTGATTTGTCATGTATACAATAACAAAGGTGAGATGTTTGACAAAGAAGTTGCTACAGGAATTTTATTTTGTTTACACAATTGTGGGTGGAAACAAAGAGGCAGAAAGTCAATTACGTATGGGATGAAGAATAAATCTCTGTGTTAACAACAGTAAAAGATGAAAAAACACATGAAAACTACCCCACTACCACTCTCAAAAGGTTTAGAAGGAAGCTGGGCCAGTGAAGGGTTACACAGTGAGTGTTCTGCAGAAGAAAAGAGGCAAGTTATTGCTCTTGAAAAGCATCCAGTCATCATTTTCCTTATGGCATCCCTGAGATCCTGGTTCCTGAGGCTGTAGATGAGGGGGTTCAGGGCTGGAGGCACCACTGAGTACAGAACTGAAAAGGCCAGATCCAGGGATGGGGAGGAGTTTAAGAGGGGTTTCAGATAGGCAAAGAATGCGGTGCTGAGGAACAGGGAGACCACAGCCAGGTGAGGGAGGCACGTTGAAAAGGTTTTGTACTGTCCCTGCTCAGAGGGGATCCTCAGCAAAGCCCTGAAGATCTGCACATAGGAGAAAACAATGAAAATGAAACAGTCAAAACAAAAAAAAAAAACAACTTATCAAAAAAACACCAGAATCCCAAAGGTAGCCTAAGTATGAACAGGAGAGCTTTAGGATCTGAGGGATTTCACAGAAGAACTGACCCAGGACATTACCCTGGCACAGGGGCAGGGAAAATGTATTGACTGTGTGCAGCATTGAGAAACCCAGAGGCCAAGGCAGCTGCTGTCATGTGGGCACAAGCTCTGCTGCCCAGGAGGGTCCCGTAGTGCAGGGGTTTGCAGATGGCAATGTAGCGGTCGTAGCACATCATGGTGGGGAGGTAATTGCTGAGATGAAGAACAGAAAGAAAAAGGCCTGAGCAGCACATCCCATGTAAAAGATGGTTGTGGTATCCCAGAGAGAGTTGTGCATGGCTTTGGGCACAGTGGTGCAGATGCAGCCCAGGTCTGTGAGGGAGAGGTGCAGCAGGAAGAAGTCCCTGGGCGTGTGCAGGTGCTGGTCGCAGGCTACGGCACTGAGGATGAGGCCGTTGTCCAGGAGGGCAGCCAGGGAGATGCCCAGGAAGAACCAGAAGTGCAGCAGCTGCAGCTCCTGCCTGTCTGCCAATGCCAGGAGCAGGAGGAACTGGGCCATGGAGCTGCTGGTGGGCATTTGCTCCTTCCTAAGAGTGTTTGGATCTCTTGAGGAGGAGAAGTCAATGCTGAGTTAGACCAGGCTGCTGCAGCCAAACAGGACACGTCTCACAGCCACCCCACTCTCAGGCTCTCTCTCCTCACTGAGACCTCCCTGTAATTCCCTCCCCTGAGCTCTGGCTGTTGCTACCTGAGGGCACCATTGGAAGCGGGAACTCCGGGATGGGCTCCCAAGGACTCCTTGCTCTGCTGGCAAAGGGAACTTGGAATGCAGGGTGATCTCCAATTAAATGCGCTCCTGATACATCCAAGAGTCTCTCAATTTTGCTGTTTGCAATTTGCCCAAATGAAGGACTGAGCTGAGGGAATTCTTTGTGTTTGTTCCCCCACTTGCACCTGCCACAGGTAGGAGTGGTTGTGGATGTTGGAAATCCCTGACATTTCCATTGCACTGCAGGTCAAGTCTTGTGGGTTCTGAGGGCACAGGGACGATCCCTCAGTGCAGGCAGAAGAGCTGTTCTGCCCATCAGTCTGTGCTCAGCTGCCCTGTGCTGTCAGCTTGGAGCTGGATGAGCATCACACTCAACTGTTCCCCTTTACAGAAACTGCACAGATAGCCAGGAATCCGTGTCCAAAGAACAGATTGACACACTCCTCACCTTTTCATCTCTCCCCTCCCAAAGTGAGACACCAAATGCTCATTGCAACTGCCCAGAGCATTTCCATGGAGTTAGCACTGAGGAGTTTTCTCCAAGGGGATCCTGTGCAGCACAGAGATACTATGGCAGAACTGTGCCCTCCTGGAGGGCACCTGCAGCCCTGCAGGACACCCAGGGAAACAGCTGAAGAGCCTGAAGTTGCCTGGAGGGCACTTGGGCACTTTACTCCTACAGACACATCCCCACAGGAGCACCCAAAGGGTTTGTGTCTGCACAGGAATCTGCCCCCCCAAACCCCCCACTGGTTCAGAAATCCAAGTAATGAGAATAGGAGAGTCCAGGCAGCAGGGGATGGCAGGGAAATGCCAGAGTGCTGCTGCCAAGGGAGGAGGGACAGGCAGAGACAGATGGAAATGAGGTCCTTGTCCTTGCCTGGGCTCTGGTTGCTGCAGGGCAATGCCCAGCCCAGCCCCCGTGACCCTGAGGGCAAAGGTTCTACTTGGGCTGGCAAAGAAGCCCAGGCAGGACAAGCTACAGCCCTGGGCACTCATGGCTGCACCCCCACCTTCCCACCCCACAGCCAGCCCTGACAGAGGGAACCTTCTTGCCCATTGGCCTCTGATGGACCACCACCAAGTCCTGCTCTGCAGCAGCTTCTCCTCCTGCCTCCCAGCAAATCCAGCACAGCCATCCTGACAACTCCTGCCAAGGTTGCCATTTGGCAGCTGCAAGAGCCACTTGCAGCAACTCACCTGCACTGCTCTGCAGCCACAGCCTTCCCGTGCCAAAGGGCTGCCAAGGTTCTTCCCCTGAGGAGCTCTGCCCTGTCCTCCCAGCCCAGGATCCCTTTCACCTCCTGTTCCCTTCTCCTGTCTGACCTTGCTGCCTGCAGCTCCTGCCCTGCTCTGCCATAGGGCCACTTCCTCTGCCCTGCAGGGACTGGGAGAGTCCTTCTGAAAGATCCTACAAGTTGTGGGATGTGGCAGCTTTAGGAGATCCCTGCAGGAAGGGAAGTTTCAGTGTCCTCCAGCCAGAGAATTCTTCATTCAAATCCTGTGCATGTTTCTCGTGTAGTTAGAGCTCAGTCCCCTTCCAGCCCAGGCTGTCTCTCATCTCTGCCTTCTCT